TCGTACAGCAAACAATTGTGAGATATGTTATAAGCTAAAAAGTCAGCCTTTGAAGTGGACTCCATGGCGAGTATCGTCTGAGGCCTGGCAGAGAATTCATGCAGACTAATGTGGTCCATTTCTTAACAAATACTATGCACTTGTAATTATTGATTCCTTTTCTAAGTGGCCTGAAATTTTTTTACAACTTCACCGAATTCTGACTGCACAATTCATGCATTAAGGAAGGTGTTTAGTCGAGAAGGAGTTCCCATGGTGTTGGTGACTGACAATGGCTCTCATTTTGCTGCAGATGCAGTCACTAATTGGTTTAATGGTATAGGGTGCAGACATCTGTTTACGGCTCCCAGGCACCCTTGTTCCAATGGTCAGGCAGAAAATTTCGTAAGAACATTGAAAATTGCTATTGATTCTATTGCTGCTTTGACATTTAATGAACTGGAGATGGGAGTAGATACATTTCTACTTCAATATAGAAATGCTAAGCATTTTGTGATGAAAGAGACTGCATCAAAGCTATTAAAAGGAAGAATTCTCCGTTCGAATATGAGGTGTTTGGAGTCTTCAGAAGTTACGTATTATCGTGGTAATGATCTTCGACCAGCCACGGGGATCGTGGTGAAGAATGTTGGAAAATCTATGGTGCGAATTCTGGATATCAATTACTTGACTATACATAACCGACACGTTGATCAAATACAATACCAGAATCCAGGTGAGTCTGTTCCAATTTCGGTTGTTAATTGTAATACTAATGAGTGCATTCTAGATAATACAGAGTCTACATCCAATACACCGTCGGACAGATGTAAGATGAACTTAAGAAGAAGACGAACAATTGATTACAGACTCTTAAACTCCAATTCGAGCTATGTCGGATGTGATGTTTAAATAAATCAATGACTTCTTCGTATTGATGAATTTTGTAATTTTGAATTCCAAATACAATACATTCGTTCGGGCTCATTTGATACTTCTTGATTACATTGAGTTATTCTTGGGATTACTAGTTTACACTACAATTCAAATACTTCTGATTATCATACTAATGTAGATTAATTGAAGATAAATTTGAACCAATGGTCGAATACTCAGTGACTCCAGATGTTATACACTTACAGCAAGATCTGTAAGTTATAGGTTTGATCACTGACAAAGTTATGGGTTCATGAAACTGAACATTCTCGTACACGGATGAAACACCCGATCCTTTGTCTACAATGGTTCATCTCGTGAAATCAATCTGTGTTGACGTTGACTTACAATAATATTCAAAATAGTTTACGTTACAGATTGTCTACAACTAGAAAGCACTTCAGTACCAAACAGCACTGACCTGATGTTTCAATGTTTATTCGTAACTAAAATTTTCAGGGTTACATTCGTGAATATTACAACATTTATTCATTGGATCATTGTTTCAATTGCCTACGTATTACAAACTGACTGAAATCAACATATATGAGTAAATGGCTCTATTGTATAAGGAATGAAGAAAGGAAGTGGAATATAATCTCAGATTGAAATTTAAATAATTCCAACGTTTCGTCCAGTAAACTTGTTCGGACTTCTTCAGGGTAATAATCAAAATTATCAAAGAAAGATATAGTGTTTGACAATCAAAACAAGTCAAATCTTCACTGTTCTAATCCAATCATATTTGGATGTTGACTTTGGCAAATAGAATGACATGAGCCATTTAAATGAGAATCATGTGACAAATTCACGATATGAAGATAAATGACTGAATGGATTGTGTTTGTGTCTGTAAGATTGAGTTGTTAATATTTGATAAGCAGTGTTAATTTGTTTTCATATGAAAGCGCAAGTTGAAGGTTGAAAATCCGTTTCTGAATCATTGATGTGCATGTAAAATGGACAATTGGAGTTCAATCTAGTCTGTCTTGAGATAGTAACCGATTGAAGACAATGGTGGACGGTGGCGAAATTTCGTGGATTGGTTGAAGTGAGATAATAATACTACTGAATGTTAACTGAGTTGTCCACAGGCTAAGCGTTCACGCTCGAAACCGATAGGTCCTAGGTTCGAATTTCGCCAGCAGGGTCGTGGATGCGCACTTCAGAAAAGTCCCATACTAGAAAGAAACGGACGTTTATTGCTTCCAGGTTGTCCATGATGGTCTAGTTACAATTGACTCATTAATCCAACTACTGAAATGAGAATAATCAAATACATAATTGTGTCGCTCAAATAATCTACATTAATTCTAGTCACAATAATGGTGAATGTGAAATAAACAGGTTGGAATCAAAATAGTGTACAATTACTTGTTAACGAACATTTTCCATGTAGTTGCTAGTTGAATACAATTTTTTTCGTTCAGGCTCTTCTTGTTCATTCATATAAGGGAACTAATTTAGATTGATTTAGGTTTTTCATAAAATCCAGCAAAACAAATAATGACTAAATACGCTTACACATTCATAACATGTTAATTTGACTCTAAATCTCTAATCATCACTGTGTGCTAATTAATATGCAATTTTAGTTGCAAACATGGATTATTCACCTCTATGTCGACAGACTTATTCCGACTTTCGCAAAAGATATTTCATTCATGTTTCTTACTGCAGTGAACAAAAACATAGGTGGGGACAATTGAATATACTTTATTACAACGTAACAGAATATCCTAGTACAATCTTACAACCATACAATTAATACTTCATTCGTAAACTGTCAACCAATCGTCTCAGACTTCATTGTTCCTCCATTCTCAGGACAAGGAGGCCTGCTGGCCGATTTGACATAAGGTACGTACGTTGAAGGCTCCAATGTGTACTTTGGAGCGAGGTTTCAATAGACCTGGGACGTTGTTTCGCTTACTAGAATCGTTGGCCATGGTGACACTTGAGGAGGAAGCCGAAAAAAGAAAGTTAAGTGTTGAAAACCGAGATGGGAGGAATAATAGAAGTTGAAGAAGGAGATTGATTATGAATACAGTGATCTTGAGTGCTGTTAGAGGTATTAGGGCAGTTATCACTTTGTTGAGGGTGTTAGATCCCCAGAACTCACTTGGTAAATGACTTATTTTTGTAATTGTATTTTGAAAATTTGAATTTCGCTGTTTTAGCGTCAAAAGCGCTCTTTCCAGCTTTACGTCATATTTCCCATTCTGGGAAAACTTAAACACTATTGATCCGTTGTATCTTTTAGTGTGCTGTTTTGTAACGTTTCTCAAGGACATTTTCAACGCTGTATCTAACGTTTGATTTCTTCCTGTTGAGATTGCTTGTGCTTCTGGCTGCTTACGGAACATATTTTCTCCTACTTACGTCTTGCACTTCTCACTCTATTTAGCGGGGCTTGGAATAGCGGATTGGAATAGCCTATCGTGTCACTGTGTCATCGACCTTCGTTCCAGTCACCGAATAAGGAGAAATCGTAATAGTGTATCATTTGGCGACGGTGGTTTTGAAAACATTGATCCTTCTTAGCTTGAATAATTACTTAAACAGCAGCTGAAACTAACGCAAATGTTGATAGATATATAGATTTCACCTCCCACACTGTAAGATCCAAACCTAGATTCCAATAGGTCTGGATGTCACCGAATAACCGAGGAATAGTTTTATACACTCGTGCCCCAATCAAAAGCAGAACAAGGTATTTTGAGGAACGCGGTTCTAAACGAATATTATCACCCGGTTATTCAACCAACAATTGATACCAAAATATTCAATCAAAAACACCAAAAGGTAAGCGTTATTCTATCTTTTCTGGATAGATCAAGTGAGACTTCGTTTGAGCGGCTATTTTATAACACAAAGTGTTTCAATTTCTGGAAAAGTGCTCCAAATTACAACCAAAAATGCACGATCCCAGTCAAAATCAAACCGCACAATCAAATAGCAAGCAGCCAATATGGCAGATGCCAGATTAATAGCAATTAAAACAAACTAGATGCAGTTCGGTAAGGAACATAGAGACTCAATAAAAAACGATAATAAAACCAAGAAAATTAAACGTTACAGTCTTAATTAGCATCAAAAATGTTGACAACATATACAAATAAAGAACATGTAAAGAAGAAATCACAAATGTATGCATGGAGGGATTTTCACTTGCAAAATGGATCCAACACACGCAGCCTAATACTTCTAATGCAACCACAACACCATCAGTAGACGGCATCGCAAATTTTATTGCTGATCATTATGATCCTGATGCCAATGTTACTTTTGACATGTGGTTCCGGCGTCATGTAAAATTATTTAAATTTGATTTCGCTAATCAAGATGGTGCTTGTAAGGTGCGACTGCTACTTCGAAAGTTGGGTGCAAGTGAGCTGGACGAGTACTGTAATTTGACCCTGCCTTCGAACCCAAGTGATCGCACTTTCTTAGACACAGTCCAGACATTAAGCCAACATTTCAGCCACAGCTCGTCATTGTTTATTATCCGTTATCGATGTTTGAAGCTAATTATGAACAAAGAAAGTTGCCCCCACCGTAGGAGGGTTCTTCTAGAGGTACCTGAAAAGGAAATTGGATTAGAAGTGGTTTTAATGGCCTGAGGCAAGATCACAGTGCCCAAGGGACAACTACTTGAGGTCGGTCACACACGACCTTTTAGTGGGTAGTTTATTTGTTAGCCCCGTACTTATTGGGACTTTACCGCCGGAGACGGAAATCTATGGGATAAGGCGAGCTGTGCATTTTCAGTGTCGACATTTTCTAACTCCACCCTTCCGTGTGGGAAGATAGTATCGCTGTTATGCTGGTTGTCTGAAGGAAACACCTTAGCGCCGTCACACTTTTGTACAGTCAGCAGTAAGACTTCGCCTTCAGACCTTGTGTTTTCTGCTTTTATTCCTACCGCTCTTCAATCGACCTGTCTGGCATGGTAGGACCTTGAGGAACGATTGTCCAGCCAGTATAGCTCGATTGGTTCATGACGATTGGCAAGTCCGTCCACCACGTCAACGTAGCAGCGACGGTCGGGCGTATGTATATTTAGTGATATTTAATTCTTTTAAATGGGTCACGCTAATTTTAAAGCTGACGTTGTCGTTTTATAATCCAGGATGAATAGTGACTACCAGTGAGCTGATCAATTGCAGTCCTAAACAACAAATAGGAAGATACTAGCAAACAATACCAAGCGAAATACATTATCGTTCCACAAAAAGTCATCATAAATGAGGACCTAAGAATCATACAATAACTGATACGTTTGTTCATTCAGGCTGTGTGAATAGCCTCCAAGACTTTATGTTCATATACATTTTTTGTTGACGGATCTTTGTATATTTGTGACCTTTTAGTGTTAATATGACAACAATTATTTTTCGACCCATTATTATCTTCATTATATCTAGAGCTTAGATTCTTGTTATGTGGCGTACTACTAGACTGCTTGAACGATCGAACTCACAACGTCTCAAGAGCGAAGATAGAAGACTAGTAAGTAGGAATGTCATTCCCACCAGTGTCAAATATAGTACAAAGATCTCGTGCATTTATAGTTTTGGTTGAAAGCAAATCCTCATTTCAGACAGCCAATAGGCACATAGGGGGTCCTTCTTATTCATCTAATAGGGAAGCTACACGTCGACATTCTAGAATGTTCCTCCAGCGGTGACTGGATGGAATGTTTTCGGCTCTTTCTGAGCTTCTTGATGCTTCCTTGAGTTTGCCAACGAGCCATCCTTACACCCCTCCTCTTTGAATTCTGTTACATATGACTCATTTTGGATCTACTTGAAACATTGTTACCACTCTCCTTTTTCGGTTCATTGCTCTTCACGACTTCACTTTTACGTCTTTCAAATCGTTGGTTGAGGTCTTCTTTCTAACGTTTCTGCGTTAGATCCACCAGCATGTTGAAATGTAGTCATGTATCTACTGTCGCTGTCCTGTGATCTTTTCTAATCTGAATAATATGTCTGATACACTTTCCGTCGCTTCTCCAGATTAAATAAAGTACCTTCCCGATACGCTGTTCTATGACCCCTGGTAACCATTTTCGACCACCTTGATACCACTTTATAAGCACTTTCTCATCTACCTTCAAGCTGCGGGTGCCCGTCTGATGCTCCTGTACAAGTTTTATTGTTTTCTTGGGTGGCAATATTCTGCCAAATATTGTCCGCATTTTCCTCCCAAACATACATTCTGCTGGTGAGTAGGAGTTAATGTAAAGCTATCCAAACGGATGCCTGTCAAAAGTGACGTACCAAAAGGCACCAACTTAGATTATCTACTTTTCCTTCCCTAGGTCAGTGAATTACTGTTAATACCTAAGACTTCGACATTAGTATTTGCGGATGATGTCAAAATCTGGAGAACAATAAGAAGTGAGGCTGATAGCATTGATCCCCAAGCTGACTTAGACGAATTAGTTAGACAGGCTTGAGGTTGGGGCTCATCAGTTTATTCTAAGAAGAGTGTGCTCATGTACGCGGCAATAGTTACCATTATACAATTGATAGTACATATCCTCTATGCGTTCAAGAACATAAAGACTTAGGAGTAATAATACGTCACGATTTGAAGACAACTACGCGTTGCAACACCTTTACCGAACAAGTTATATCAACTCCATCAGTGAACAGTAATAGGGAGAAGCAGTACATTCACTGGAAGGCAGTCTGTCAGGATTAATACAGGTCCACCAACCTACTGAGGACTGAAAGTGAACAATGTACAACAGCGCGAGAATTTGATATTCACGTTATTCTCACACCTGTTGTCGTCTGGGGTACATGGTGTAAGTAATAATTCCTGAGAGTAAGGTTTTATATTCCAGTTTGTAATCTATGTATTAAGGATACTCTGCCGGCTTTCTATATATAGCTGGTAGCTTCTGTTTTTTTCTATTGGTAAGCTTCTATAGGTTCCTAATTTCCATTCACTGGGTCATTTGGAGATATTTACACCTCTTAGTGTAGTTTAAAGCTTTAAAACTTGAGATGAAATTGACCAGCTTCCGGTAATTTTCCGGCAAATAACAAAATATTCGGTAATGCATAAGTATGGGATTTCGTTCTATAAAATAACCCGTATTCTCCAAGACCTAGGATTAATTACAAAATTCACCCAAGTTCGCCAGAAGTAATCTCGGAATTTGTAGGTTGTCGTGAGCTTTGTTAGGTTAATATTCGATGTGAAAACCTATGTATCATAGAGATTTTGTCTGTTCTTGACTTTCGAACTCACTTTCTATGTTCTCAGAGTTGTTTCAATATACTTAAAAGCAAAAATAGTATGTCAAGTTCAGTATCATTCTTTTATACTTTATTTGGGAAAACCAGATCACAACAATTTGCCGTAAGACAAAGAAAACATGTCAAAAACTTCAAATCTTATTGTGTATGGTAAAGTTTCAGTTTGGGAAGTACAGAAGGCTTGGTGAACCTTTTTAGTCCTGGCGATAATAGTCTTCCAGTTGATTCAACTTTTTTTTGAAAGAGTAGACGGATGGAGCCTCAACCACTTGCTGAGGTGATGCATTGCACTCGATTCGATAGGAACGTCTATAGTCAGCTGACAAGTACTTTTGTTCTGGTCTTGTGGACTTTTTAAAAGTGTCCACGTAAATTCCCTGTTTTGAAAGACAAGAAGAATGAGGGCATATCAGATGAAAATTTGCCACTAAGTAATTCAGAAACTAACCAAAGTACCTCAAGTTCTTTGATTTGACCGCGAATAGGTTTAGCTTAGTCAGTCATCTTCAGCATATAGCAAGGACGATGATGATAGGAGACAAGAAGGCTCATTTACGTATAACAGGAATAACACTGGCTCCAAAACTATCTTAAGCCACCCCATCAAGATCAGTTTCCCAGCTAGACAACTTGGGATTCACTCGTACTCTTTGTTGGCGCCCAACTAGGAAGTCCTTTATCCACATTATTAGATTGCCCCCAACCCTGACATTTCCTAACTTATATAACAGCCGTTTGTAAGGGACTTCGTTAAAAGCGTTGCTGAAGTCAATTTAAGTTACGTCTATAGGTAACTTTTGGTTTTTAAAAGCACACTAGCTTTCATGAGCTACTAATAAGCTAGTAGGACGGGAATAACCTATTTTAAAACCATGATGCTTTTCCGAAAGGATCCGGTTTTCATCGAGATACTTTAACATTTCCTTCCGAATAATTTTTTCTAAAACCTTAACAACCACGCTGTAATCCTTAATGGATCATAGGCCATCGACCAGGACTCATAAACCAACTCTGTCCTCGGTTCTTTCCAGTTATTTCCAACTGCTACTTATTTCTCTGATGCCTGTCTCCCGTTTTCAAGGCTACGTGTTTTTTGGTCCCCTTTCTCTTCTTCCGCCTCTAGGATTCCAGGTTGGGCATTACCTTATGATTTAGTTTGATGATTTCCTGAGTGTATCTCCTACTCACCTCTAGCAACTTTTCCTAATTTCCTCTTCAGCTAAAAGTTAGTTTGTTTGTTGCCATGGTGGGTTGTTGTGGATGGTATTGATACAACGGATATTGAGTATCTTGTGTAGATGTACGGTACATATATCTAAATCTAACTTCGGAATTCAACCATCGTTCACCTAGAAGGCTCTTGAGAAGCTTCAAGTTTTAATATTTTAAAATTACACATTATTTGTTGTGACAACCTAATTATCAGAAATCCTTTACTTGGTTGTTTTTCCTTCCTATACTATATTCTTACATACAACCTTTCTTTATATACTACCGCCACTAAATTAATTACTTCTATGAATCCGGTGTTCATCTTGTTGTGCTAACGAGGTATGGCAACTTGGACCAATGCATATATGTGCCTGGTCCTACGTTGTCGCTGACTGATTGACTGACTGACTGTTATGATAGGCTCCCCTAGATGTGGTCAGATTGTAACATTAAAATCATGAAGCTTCAAGCGTTTCTACTATAACTGCACAGTTAGAGGTGTTCGTTTTTAAAAAACACATTTAACTTTTGGTTCCTAGGGTAAAATCGTTTTTCCTCGTACTATTAGAAGATCATACACATTCTGTCTACTTAACTTATTTATTCTATAGTTAATTTCACGTTTATTTCGCTCGTTTCCACCTGAAGCTATTCTTTGAACGAAACTATACTGAAGGATAGGCTTTTTGAGGCATTACTTATTGGTAAACAACGTAAAAATGTATCCTTACATTTTGGATAATCTAAAAGAATGTTTTTTATGGTTCATTTATTTATTTTTATTTATTTATTTATTTAAACACATATATTCGTACAAAAGGGCACCAGATACATATGCGCCACACAAAATAATGAAAGTAGGAAGCGAAAGGATGAAAAGATAAGGCGGACTAAAATGTACAACCAGAAGACTCTTTCAGTTAAAAAAGTTAGAACCACTCTTTATGTAGAAAGTAAAAGAAGGTTGCAGCAGGATCGCCACTAGCTTCTATTCTGAGCCATATCCGATAACGTCTCTAGCCACTGTGTTGCACCATCTCTCGGACCCCATCCAGGGAATTGTGAAGGACCAACAGAAGCTAGCCCTTTTCAGCTTTCTGTCATGCCACGACACCATTTCATACACTGACCTCCTCTCCGCTTCTTCCAACCAGTCCCAGAGTCGGCAAATAATGCACGGCGTGGAAGTCTCTGGGACGACATTCGTAAAACATGTCCAAGCCACCGAAGTCGGTGTTTCAAGATGGTGACACCAATTGAATTATCGTCTCTGCGCCCGAACACACGATGCCGAACCTCTGCATTACTAACATGGTGTTGCCACTGGATGTCAACGATCCTTCGGAGACAACGATGATCGAACACAGAGAGTCGTCTAACATGCTCAACTCGGAGAGGCCAGGTTTCACAAGCATACAGCAAAACAGCCCTCACCGACGCGTTGTAGATCCGACCTTTTACAGCCAGACTAACATCACGAAGGCGCCGAAGATGGCCCAGATTGGCATAAGCCGCTCTGGCTTTCCTTATACGTGCATCAATCTCATCACTCACGCCACCACCAGCACTTATATAGCTACCTAGATACACGAATTTCCCAACTACTTCAATCTGCTCACCATCCAGGGTGAGTACAGGATGAGAATCCTGCCAGTCTTGTAGGAGTACTTTGCACTTGGAGGGTGCAAAGCACATGCCGTACCTGCGGACACTGATTGTCAACTGATTAAGTTCGGATTGCATGCTTTGGGCATTATCGCACAGTAAGACAATATCATCCGCATACTCGAGGTCGAGAAGTCGTTCTCCAGGCAACATATCCACACCGCCATTACTTACATCCACCGGAGCTGTTTCCAGGAAGTCATCGATGGCAAAGTTGAAGAGGAATGGTGAGATCGGGCAACCCTGCCTAACCCCACTGCTCGAATGGAACAAGGGAGAAAGGTGATTGTATGCCCTCACTCTGCCTGAGGTGTTCGTATATAGGGCCTTTAAGATGTTAATGAACTTCTCAGGCACACCCTTCTTCAATAGACAATCCCAGAGAACAGTCCTGTCCAACGAATCGAAGGCAGCCCTGATATCAAGAAACACTACGATTGTTGGCCTGCGATAAGTATGACGGTGTTCTGACATTTGGCGTCGTGAAGATGCAACCAATGCTCATCTATACTTTTCGGTGGGGTGGTAGCTAGCCTAGAGGCTAACTCCGCTCGATACTTACTTGCAACAGATGTTGCAGCCAGTTTAATTATTTATTTATTTAAACACATATATATTGGTACAAAAGGGCACCAGGTACATATGCGCCACACTATTTGTGTGTGTGGGCTGTGATACTGCTCGGGTGCCCAAACCGAAGCAGGTGGTTTTCTTAGGGGCCCATACTCCGAGCCTTTGACCTAAAGGTCTGATCCACAAGGCAGTGGAGCATCGTGAGGAGATGCAGTCCCATGGTAGCCGTTGACCAACAGCAGGTTCATTCGCCATTCGTTCCATCAGGATACTGGAGCCAGCCCATGTGCACCATTGGTTTGGAATCAGGGTTTTCCAACTCTCCTAGGTGTGCTTTCCGTGTCCACCAACCCGGTTAAAGCGCCGGACATTCTCTTTTCGTCCTCTCATTTTCGTAAACAACAGTAGTGCCACGAGAAGGCAGTGAGTAGGACTTCCCTGACAAAGGCTATATATTCGCTGGCCATGTCAGAGCATTTCGAGAGGGAGAGTGGACTCTCCCCACTCTCGGCCGTACCAGGCCATTTGGGGGCCAGTTTACTAACATCGATCCGTTGGTGGTGGTCAATCCTTCGGCCACTGAAAAGTAAGGTGAGATTGGCGCAAACCAGGGCATGATCAGACTCCAGATAGGTACTCCAAAAGGAGCGGCTGTCTTGTACACAACCACGCCAACGGTAGCTGATCGCGATGTGATCAATCTGAGTCCAGGCTTGGGATGCAGAGGGAGGACATCAGGTGGCACACCGGCGATGACTGTGCCGGAAGTTAGTGCTAGCCAGAAACAGGTTGTGGTTTGTGCACAGTTGCAGCAAACGGTCTTCGTTATCTGTCCTGCGACCAACAAGTCCCCATCGGCCACCTAAACGACTCTCTTCCGTGCCTAGACGCCCGACCTGTGCATTCAAGTCTCCGGCTAGTACTACAATATCTGTCGAACGCGCTTTCTGAAGAAAAACTGTTAACTGATGGTAAAACTCATCCTTGATTGCATCCGGGCTGCAATCTGTCGGGGCACAGGCGGAGATGACGAAAAGACACCGTTTCTCACGCCGGTTTCTTCTCACTTTGATGGAACTTTCTAATCTAACAGGACATAACCGACTGCTAATGGGGATCCAATCGATTAGTGCTGCCTCAGCCCTAGCTCTTAGTGCAACACCAACGCCTGCAAGACCAGACGAAGATGCCACAGAGTCCCCGGATAAGCGCACGTGAAACAAGCTTTTCGAAGCGACAGATGGAGAGCGAATTTGTAGTACTTCACTAGAGTCTTGAATACGGGTCTCGGATAGACAGCAAACATCAACATTAATACTTTCTAAAGACATAGCCAGCCCCATCTGTTGTCTGATCTGCATTAGTGTGCGAACGTTGAAGGAAGCCAGCTTGAACGGCGTACGTGGTTTCAGAAAGACTGCCTCAGTATTCGTAATCGGTGGAAGCATTCACTTACAACCAGACAGTGACTGGAGATCGTTTAGATAGGACAGATTTTCCACCATGGGCGAGCTACTGCATAAGTTGGAAAGGAAGGATACACAATTTTGGAATAAAGGGAGTGAAAAAGCGACGAGTAAATAATAATAATAATAATAATAATAATAATAATGGTAATAATAATAATCGTGTAAATTGTCTTGCTTCTAGTATGAGCGAGAATACTTTCGTCAATAGAATTCATCATTTCATTTATTTATGTGTGGGCTGTGATACTGCTCGGGTGCCCAAACCGAAGCAGGTGGTTTTCTTAGGGGCCCACACTCCGAGCCTTTGACCTAAAGGTTTGATCCACAAGGCAGTGGAGCATCGTGAGGAGATGCAGTCCCATGGTAGCCGTTGACCAACAGCAGGTTCATTCGCCATTCGTTCCATCAGGATACTGGAGCCAGCCCATGTGCACCATTGGTTTGGAATCAGGGTTTTCCAACTCTCCTAGGTGTGCTTTCCGTGTCCACCAACCCGGTTAAAGCGCCGGACATTCTCTTTTCGTCCTCTCATTTTCGTAAACAACAGTAGTGCCACGAGAAGGCAGTGAGTAGGACTTCCCTGACAAAGGCTATATATTCGCTGGCCATGTCAGAGCATTTCGAGAGGGAGAGTGGACTCTCCCCACTCTCGGCCGTACCAAGGCATTTATTTATAGCGGTATTTGAATACACTTGAATACACACATTGACTTCACAACTAAGATATAATCTACACTTATTTACCTTAATCACAGTTCATATCACTTGATCTGCTTCGGTCTGGGCACCCGGGCAGTATCATAGCCCTCATACAATTAAATGAAATGACAGTTTTTGTGTGGCGCATATATATCTGGTGCCCTCTTGTACCGATATTTATGTGTTCAAATAATAATAAGAACATGTCACTTTACAAATCCAGAACCAATATTGCACTTGTTATGTATTAGATAAATTAAGCTAAAACAGTTCATATGTATATGACTCATGAAAAGCAGCCTCACGTATGCAACTTTAAAGGATAAGTGTTGTGTCATTCCGTAGACTCACACTGTTTATTGATTTTTCTGTCTATTTGCATTCATTCACAAACCACATAGTTCGAGTAAACTGATAAAAACCTGACTTGTGCCTACAACTGGTTACAAATTAATTGTCTTTGATACTTTTATAGCAAATTTTATACGTTGCCAGGCTATCTTAATATGTAAGTTATTTAAATCCCCTCAACATCAATTAAGTCAGTTACCCTGTGAATACAACTATTATTGTCATCTTTAGATGGGTTGTAAAGAAAAGTCTTGTTGACATATTCCTTGTCTTTATTCAATAGTCACGAATATTTCAACTCAACTCAGCCAATAGTTAGAGTTCAGGGATGATTTTCAACGATAATCAACAGTAATATTCTCTCTTTTTATCTATATTACTGTTTTAGTTAAGAAGTCTAAAATCAAGTAACAAATCTCCTTGCGTTTAATTTTATAGTCCTTCAGAAACAATTCTAACCTAGACGATTTTCAGCTCTTCACTTTAAGTCACAACTGCTTTAGTAGGATTTTTTAAAATATCTAACAGTCATTCATGTTACTTTGAAAGTAAACAGAATTCCAATGTCCCGTTTCACTGTATAGCACCAGATCATAAAATATAAATCTATTCAGTCTGTCAATTGGATGAAGAATCAAAAATAAATGATATGATAAGAACGCCACACAATTGGGTTTATTATGTTTCTTTCTTACTTTATTTGAACACATAAATACTGGTACAAAGAGGCACCAAACACATATGTGCCGCACAGGTCACTTGATTTATGTGTGGATTGTGATACTACCCAGGTGCCCAGACCAAAGCAGGTGGTTCTCTTGTGGGACCACTCCCCAAGCCTTTCACCTAAAGGTCTGATACACAAGACAGTGAAGCAACTTCGGGAGATGCAGTCATATGATAGTCGGTGACCAATGATTGGTCCATACACCGTTCATTCCTTCAGGATCCTGGAGCCCCTGTGCACAATTGGTTTGGAATCAGGGTTTTCCAACTCCCCTTTGTGGATCCTCCGCGTTGATTAACCCAGTAAGAGCACCGGAAATTCGCTTTTCGTTCTCTGAATTCCGTAAAAATCAGCCTTACTATGAGAAGGCTGGGAGTAGTACTTCCCCGATAGTGGTTGTATGCACGTGTCCATGTAAGAGCATTCCAAGAGAGAGATACTAACTCTCCCCACTCTCGACCGTACCAGAGCATTTGAAGGCAATTTATTATGTCATTAATCATACATCTTAAAGTTCAGTAATATTGTCTTCGGTAGTTTTGATATTTAAGCTTTCAACTTGTGACTCATATATTCTCTTGAAATAATTTAATCCAGTCAGTCAGTCACAACGTAGAACTTCGTACGTGCGTACGTATGTACATCAGTTCGAGTTGCCATACCACATTAACTCAAAGATGCAGTTGTCGATTCAAATCCAACTGATTATTTCAAAATTTGTTTTTGAATTACAGATGATTTGGAATAATACTATCGGCATATCTCCGAATATTTCACGACTATTTAAAATATTTGGAAAATTATCATATCGTCAAGTTAACACATTATCATCAACTGATATAAATCAGGTAATTTCCTAGTGATTATTGTTCATCTCCATGTAGGTAGTTTTATTCGGTAGAGTGAGTTCTTTACATTTCGGTGAAAGCAAGAATGGTAAAAATGTCTATGTATCAATTGGATTAGTAACAAAAAATAGTTTAAAGACTACGAATGGATATTTATCTACCGTGGCTTTTCATACGTAAGTTTACTTTAATTAGTCAGTTATATTATCAATCAGTATGGTTTTTGTGATTTCGAGATTATTATTAGTATTATTGCATCAATGGCATCAATGCTTGAAGTCACTAACTTCTAGTCTGAGCTATGTTGGCAGATGCAGACTACTTGGTTAGGGTCCGCGTGACTATCGTTACCAATGGTTGGAGACTCTAGGTGACATGGTTCAGAATCGATTACAATGGCGTAGGTGTATACATTCTTTATCTTCCTTTAAACCTTAAGATTAAAATTGCTTCATAACTTTTTTTCCTTCCCAAACTATATCCTTATATACAACCTATCTTTTATATACTACCACCACTAAATTAATTACTTCTATGAATTCGGTGTTCATCTTGTTGTGCTAACGAGGTATGGCAACTTGGACCGATGCATAAATGTGCTTGATCCTACGTTGTAGCTGACTGACTGACTATTGCATAGTTAAATAACTATTTTTTGAAGCCTAATAGTAGTGATTAGAGCATTTGACTTTTCAGCCCGTAAATCATCCTATTTCGAATCGAGAAACGGTAATATCACTGTCATTCAAACTTAGATTGTGGCTTGAAATCAGATATATGAATCTGTGCCTGATAAACGAGTTACTGTAGTTAATTAATTAATTGCAGACTTTCCTAGGTAAAGACGGTAAATTAACTTATAAAGGTACTAACCTTCGTTAATTGAGGTATTATAAATGTGACACATGCCTAGACACTAGTCACGTCAACATTTAATGTTCGGTAGTATGGGAGTAAGCTAGAAAAATGTCAGTATTGATCGAACAGAACACTGCATCACTACATAAAGTTAGTGGCTGTTTGAATAGACGACGCCGAGAGGTCTATACTTTTTGATTAGAGTGTAAGCAGTCGTTGCAATCAATATTTGAAAACGTTAAGTGACATGAATTCAAATCAGTTACGCTAACACATATATTCTTCAATCGTAATTTCATCCTAATTTTAGAGCTTTAATAAAACAGTCAAAGTAATTAAATTGGTGTACGATGTATAAAAATTGCTGATATTAATATTTAGTCGATTTAACTGTAACTGCCCCCAAATGCCCTGGTATGGCCGAGAGTGGGGAGAGTCCACTCTCCCTCTCGAAATACTCTCACATGGCCACGCGTATATAGCCTCTGACAGGGAAGTCCTACTCATTGCCTTCTCGTCAATGGGGTGTTGTTTACAAAATTGAGAGGACAAAAAGCGATTATCCGGAGCTTTAACCGGGTTGGTGGACACGGAAAGTCCATCTAGGGGAGTTAGAAAACCCTGATTCCAAACCAATGGTGCACATGGGCTGGCTCCAGTATCCTGAAGGAACGAATAGCGTATGAACCTGCTGTTGGTCAACGGCTACCATGGGAATGCATTTCCTTACGATGCTCCACTGCCTTGTGTATCAGATCTTTATGTCGAATGCTCCGGATGTGATCCCTTAAGAAAACTACCTGCTTTGGTTTGGGCACCCGGGCAGTATCACAGCCGTCACACAAATCTCATTTGATTTGTGAGGCGCATATTTATTTGGTACCCGTTTGTACCAATATTTATGTGTATAAATAAATAAATAATATTATCTAAAATAAATGTTCATATCTCATCTGAAATCTATTCAAGTCTCATTCGTTTATTTTCTCATTGTTTCTTTTACGAAATCAAAATAATCGCCTCCTATTACAGTGTATATGTTTTCGAACAATCGTTTGTTGATAAAATTAAACATTTAACCAAAGGTGATCGATTATGTGTTATTGGTCGATTGAACTCTTATTCTAAACCTGATGGTGAATGGCGTTCTTCTGTTACAGCTGACATAGTAAGCCCACTTGTTGGAATGCCGACAATGAGTGGAGATGATTCTGTTATGGAAGATGAAAAAGCTAATGAAGATGAAGAGATTTTAACAGATGAAATGGAAGATAAACTTGATGCTGAAAAATGAAACACTTCAGTATATGTATATGTATATATATATATATCATGGATTTGTACTATATCTTCTGTGTAATAATAGAAATATTCCAAATAGAATAAATTTATCATTGTAGTATAATCATCAAAACATAGTTTAGTTAGCAGTGGAATCTAGGATGCACGTCTCGTCTGCACGACTCGTCAGTTACATGTGTCTGTATCTCAGACTTGTTCACTCCAGAACTCGTAACCAGTACAACTCGCTTCAAACACCATCTTTTTTTTTCTAATTAGCTACTACTCTATCGGACAAGCTAATAGCTATCTGAACTCAATAGCTAAATGGATAATACTATGACCTTTGAAGTGAACAGTATTAGTTTCGAGTTGTGGACTGAGAATCAAATATGATATGTAAGTACATTCAGCTGACGAGTTCTCTGTAGTACGAGATGCGGGTCCTGGATTCCATTGTCAGCAGCCATCCATCTCTGTTTATGAGGCTTGTGGCTTAAAGTAATATCGAGGTGATCCGCACAGGACGCACGTATACCAATAAGATACTGGTTAGTTACAATCCTAAACGTCAATGAGGAGATTCAAACAACCAATATTGCATGAATTAGACTTAAATTATTCTGTTGAACAAATATAGGTGTATCATTCATATCCATATTATGAAGCATATTAAAAATTGCAATTTCAGCGGTACTACAAAGTCGAATGACTATGGAATCACCATCGACTAGGTTGGAATTATTGTAACAATATTCATCACAATCGTATCAAGTTATCTGGGACTATCATTTATAGCACTTCGTATTGTTGTTTAACATGATATTGAACACATAAGAATTAATCGGGGGTGTAGACTGAAGATATACTCCATTTTGTCAGGTCAACCGGAAGGATCGTAACCAGAAATGACAGTCGTTATAGTGTTTATTTATTAATCATTACAGCATGATTTTAAGATGTTAATTTTGCTGAACTGTACATTTTATTCACTGTGTCAGTATGCTCCATAGTGGACAGGTCCACAACAGGCTCGAATGTTATTTCATTTCTAGAAAAAAACTTTAGATAATTTTAATGAAGGAAGCTTTGAGTCTCTGTTTAGTTTTTGTGATTGTACTTCGAACCATGTATTTATGTATTATAACAGTAGTCTCTCTCGGTCTAAGTGTTCTGGCGCGAGACTGGTATGTTCTGGGTTCGAATCTCACGAGTGCGGGATCGTGGATGCGCACTGTTGAGGAGTCCCATAATAAGACGAAACGGCCGTCTAGTGCTTCCAGGTTTTTTTTATGGTGGTCTAGCTTCAATTGACTCATGATTTCAACTATGAAAGTAGTCTCTAGTCTTGTAGTGATGCATGCCGATAGGTCATAATTTAATAGTCTGATTTAGCATGTTATAGGTTATCTTGACAGAATAGCGAGTCCAGCATAAAATTGGAACACGAGTATGGATAGTAAGCGTAGAAGAATATCCTCAGTATTAATGATTGGTTGCCTAATCCTCAATCATAATGAGTGGGAAACAAACAAAATGTTCTGCTCTATATCCATGAGTGGGATGAAATCATTGTTCTCACCATTAATGCTTGCTGGTCGGTAACTAATATTCATCCTCTTCGCCAATGCCATTGATACAGTACAGTTTATATTTCGCATAACGAAAATTGAAAAGACTGGTTTTACTGAAACACCCAAACCTTGGTTCCATAACTATTTAGAGAACAGGACAATTCGTGCTAAGGTAAATGGGATGCATGCGAGTTCGAAATGATTTAACATCGTAAGTTTCGAGTGATGCAGTCTCAAGTCTATTCCTGTTCTTGATATTTATTAATAGCCTGTTAGATAAAAATTAGCTTGACAGCACTTATCTATACAGATGGTGTGAAAATCTGGAGATCCATAAGAATCTAAAAGGAATCAACCGAACTCCAAGATGTTCTTACGATAACAGAGCAATGGACAGTAAATATGAAGTTATACGCTATTTCGTAATGTCACATCATAGATAGTTTACGTCATTTAACACAGCACTAGTACCCTATATGAAAATTTGCTACAAATTTTCCTCTTAGAGAGTGATATCTGGCTGTTAATTATGGAATGTTTAAGCTCCAGATCAAACTACATGAGAAGTGATGGGGCTAAAACTAAATACCTTTGGACCTAGGATTATTCTTGTTGGGCTACAGCAGAATAGGAAGTGACCTAATAATGGCTTACAACTTATTAAGTACTCCAAGTTAAACTCAAAACGAGCATACCAGAATATCAACATCACTCTGCTCGAGGCATCCTCCGTAAAACTGCATATCAAAGAGCAAACACCGTATCCCTGATATGCGACGGTAAGCACAACTATTTATTATCCTTAAAATTCCTTTCACCCCAACAGCACGGTTTCAGAAAGGGTCCTTCTTGTATAACTAACCTGCTGACTGCGGTGGACAGACGAACAACCATCCTTATCGCGAGGGGAAGGTTGACGTCATTTACCTTGATTTCTCAAAAGCTTTTGATAGGGTCATCCATATATGTCTTAACAATAGGCTCAAATGACTGGGTATCAAATCACCTTTGATTGATTGGCTCACTTTATATCTGAGAAATCGACATTTTAAAGCCAAGGTTAACCTCACTTTCCCTCAGGCTATGGAATGTCCTAGTGAGGTCCCTCAGGTTTCGGTACTAGGACCTCTTCTTCTCTTGATTTATATTAACGATCTTTCACAACAGGTATCGTCAGATTTATTGCTTTTTGCTGATTATCTTAAATTTTGGAGAGAGATATGTGAGTAAGTGGAAAACCTGGCACTTCAGGAGGCAATTCAAAGTTGTGCAGATGACAACGGACTTACCCATTATTACTTCAAAGTGTGAAGTAGTCTATCTGGACATGGTGCAGACCATAACTACAAATTAGGCAACTCCCTTCTCGATGTATCTCAAGTTGAAAAACATCTAGGAGTGTTGGTGACCTACGATTTGAAGTTTTACTCTGACGGCGACAAAAATGTCTTTCAAGCAAACCTTGCTCTGGTAAAATTGAAGATCACTTTTGGCCACTTTGATGGAAGAACTTTCTACGTATTCTTCAACGGTTTTCTTCATCGCCGTTTAAAGTACAGAAACATAGTATCTCCTTGCTCACTCCAAAGGGAGAAGAACACTGTGGAACGTATCTGACGGTGAGTCACGAAATCATTCCGGTGACTCAAATTCAAGCTCTATGAAGAACGCCTCCAATCACTGAACCTTTACCCGTTGAAGTACATACATCTTAGAAGTAACCTTCTAATAGCTGACAGCAAGCTAGATACCTCTGAACATACACCTAAACACATACTTAAGTTTAGTCCTATCACAAATCGTTGGAATCACTGATCCTCATGAAGTTATGATACCCCACAACCTGTTTAATCTTTTCTTAGCAGCTTGCGAATATCGAATCCTATTTTAGAAGATTTATGATTTGTCCCCATCAGATATTACACAAACAATAATGGCGATAACAACAGTTTCGAGTCCAGTTGGTTTTAGATATTTTCATATATGAATGTTCTTAACAAGTATAATTGTCCTTATTCACCATTTCACATACTTGATTCTAACCAGTATTCTCGGTATCTCACTCCAGTATTTAAGCTCTAGTCATTATCCAACGGTGTTTATTGTTTAACTTCAATCGATCCATGATCGTTTGTTCAACTGTGATAATACGACAATCACCACAAATCAACTTACTGACGTGATATATCAGTGATCGGATTATGCTAAGTGTATTGAGCCAATATGACGTCTGATTATTCTGGTCATATTCACCTTCAAATTACAGGATTGTAACTTCTTGTTCTTGTATTATGTCTTAGTAAAACGTACAACTGTTTATTGATTATTCAAACACATCGAAATTTGTTAATGTTTGAGGCTTGGGAATATCTTCAGTTGTTGGTCTTTGTTCAACTAATGGACCTTTCTAGAAAATGTTTGTTAATGGATTGAAAAAAACATTCCAATAAGGGATGATGATATTTTCATGCATGAAAAAAGTATCAAGATTTGTAGCTATAAATTATTCACAATAACTAATTACATTTGCATAACATTGTTGTATAAAATGTTATACTACTTACTATGATTTAGTAGCTAATGACTAGCCTTCAAAATGTTCTGCCTTCATTTATTTAAACACATAAATATTGGTACAAAATGGGCACCAGATACATATGCGAAATACAAATCTCATTCGATTTGTGTGAGGGCTGTGATACTGCTCAGGTGTCCAAACTGAAGCAGGTGGTTTTCTTAGGGAGCCACATCCGGAGCCTTTAACCTGAAGGTCTGATCCACAAGGCAGTGGAGCATCGTGAGGAAATGCAATCCCATGGTAGCCGGTGACCAACAATTGGTTAATACACCATTCGTTCCCTCAGGATACTGGAGCCAGCCCATGTGCACCATTGGTTTGGAATCAGGGTTTCCCAACTCACCTAGGTGGACTGTCCGTGTCCACCAACCCGGTTAAAACGCCAAATATTCACTTTTCGTCCTCTCAATTTCGTAAACAACACTCTTCAGGAGAAGGCAGTGAGTAGGGCTTCCCTGTCAGAGGCTATATATAGGCTGGCCATGTGAGAGCATTTCGAGAGGGAGAGCGGACTCGGCTGTACCAGGGCATTCGGGGGCTTGTTCTGCCTATTGAGCTAGCTGTTCGAAACGTCCGTCGTTATTAACTAGCCATTATCATTATAGGTGTTTGAAAATTAGAAATAAATATGACTGAAATTGCGACCACCACTGCAAGGGCCAGTCCATGGAATATTATCGTCTGATACGCGATGGCTGTCATTGGCGTTGACGAAGATCGATGAACTGTTCCATAATGAGTCACTCAACTGTAGGATGATTTGTCTAGGGCTCAGTGACATTTTATCGGTCCTACAAAGGAAATCTATTGATCGCAATACATGCCTATGATTATTTGGAGAGATTTTATCTTCAATTCTTT